GGATTCACAAAATTATTTTGAACGAGATTCGAGAAATTTGGAGTCGTGATTCCTATCTTCCAAGAATCGCGATTGATCCTGGGAAATGTGGAACCTCAGTACACGGTTCGGGTAATCATACTTCCCTTACTTCATTCAGTCTATTATAGTAGCAATAAGTGAGCTAAAATTACAAATGAAATGTCAATAAAAGATATAGCAGAACCATGGAACTCATCACATCTCCAACCAATGGTGGTGTAGCTATATGTTGTAGATAGACTTCTTTGTATCCCAGCTCTTGGTGTCTGTATCCATATCCCTATCTGGGCATCTTAGCTATGGGTGCAGAGTTAAAGGAAATGTAAGCCCTATAAGAGGGGGAAGATTATACGCTATACCCTTAAAGGATGCTGTTAGGTATACGCCGTTTCTTATTATGTTACACGTAGGTTTTAATCAGATATCCATTTCCTACTAGCACAAATATATCTCTTTCTCAATTTTCTCTTCCTTCTTTATGATAGAACAGTTTTTTCTGAACATAGACCTGTGGGGCTTAATTAGATTGCTTTTCCCTTTCTAAGCAACTCCATTCGTTCCTCCACAAATTGCCCATAACATTTCTTAAATTTAACTTGTGTTTGAAGTGGTCACTCTAGGGAAGCGTTTGCTACTGTTGTCTTTGCTATTACTCTGAGAAAAAGGTTTTGGCATAGTTAATATGAAGTTTTAGATATTTTAATATTCCCCAAATAGAGTTACGTCTCCCTAAGGAGCCATATTAGGTGTGCTTTGGACAGCACAAACCCTTGGGCTGCGTACACTCATGTGAGTGTGGTTGGAATTCTAAAAAAGGAAAAAAAAAAGAAAGTTGCCACATTAGTTTAATTTTACATATCCATCTACAAAACAATTGGACTTCAATGTAAGTTCTCAATGTATCTCTGATTTGATTTGCTTTATTGCTAACATTCCTTCATTCAACCCCATCTGCAACTTAACTAGATTTCTTTAGTTTTGATCAGTGAGAATTATGGTAGAACACTTTATATTGAGTTTAAATGAATTATTGAAATCAAATTCCATAGGTGGTTCACAGACATGCATGACCTGCATATGTCGTACTCCAAACGCTGCATTGGATGGTAAGGACCATGTATACAGAAACTCAACCAGACTCGACAAGCCCCTAGGTGTCTTTGGTCCTTGACAACTTTGATGATTCGAGTTGGTCATGGACCCAAAAGAATAAACTCCATGCCTTTCAGTCTTCAGAAAACCAAAAACATAATGGAAACTTTACTTGATCTAGTGTATCGTGACCCAAACCTGACTTTTCTCCAAGTTGGTTTGATGGCCAGGTCTTCAAAGACTTGATTGGTTCTGTGAACTATTGGTAGGGGCGTGCAATTTTAGATAGATCTTCAATGGTTTTGGAAATCTACAGGCCTTTGAGATTCCACATGTTTCGTGGGCCATCAGACAGATTTGGAACATTGTCAATTCTAATATCTTCTAGACATTTGATCTAAATTAGTTGTTCAAACCTTCATCAAGATTTTGAAAGCATAGAAGGTAATTCTTCATATTCAAATGTTTTAGTGCTTTAGCAACCAATTCAGTGTAGTTGGGGAAGATAAGTGCCTCAGTACTTTTTGCTGTGTTAACCATGGCATAGTCATTGCTTCATTGGTGCAATTTTTTTAACTGATTTTATAAGCTGTAAGAGCTAGTTCCCTTCCTAGAGATGGTAGCTTTTTCACTGATGTTCTATCAACTTTCTGCTTATGTAAAAAATGCATTATTGCATTTGAAACCACCATATGTAATGGTAATGGTTTGTCGTTGAAGTGGACTGTAATGGCACTGAGACATACGTGTGGTTATTCTGTGCACAAGTTTGCTCATTTCCAAGCAAACCATCATACATTTCAGAAAATCCTGATTCCTGCTATCCCTTCTTTGAGGATAACTTGAGGACTTGGTTTCATGGTGAGGCAGGTGATACTGCCACATGTGGACACCCTAAAATTTGGCTGTATGGACGACGATCCCAATACCATAGGAAGCTTCTATCCTATCACGATCCCCCGTTCACGATGCCAAAAACCCTAGCACAAACAATGGAATTGCTTCATCTTCCTCGAGAATTCATAGGATATTTCAACATCAAGGGGACAAATGAGCAACATTTTCAACATTTGGGGATGCACACGTTTCTTTGTACACGGATTAACTGAAAACATGCATTCCAGTGAAATGGTCAAATATTCTTTAGACAAATCAGGAAAGGTGCTTTCTCTCGTTACTGTTCACCTTTTTAAGAAGATTTTGGTATCAGATAGTACCTTCCTTCACTGTTTTTGTAAAGACGAAACTATTGTGTTGTCTGCTTCATGTTTGTTTTCTGTTTCCTCAAGTATTTTCTTTTTAGACATCAAAACAACAAGTTTTCGATTTATCAGGTTGAATACTTTTCATCTATCTTGGTGAACATGCACAGCAATGTATGCTGAATGTGTTGTCCTAAAATAAGATGATCGTAATATCTCTCGCAATGCTCTTTACCAGACCATCCTTATTCTGAATATAAATTTAGAAGTTCGCTATAGTAGTCTAAAAGACATATTACAATCATGGCCACCATTATTTTTTGCTGGCACAGAGAGTTTCCAAAATCTTTTTCTTAGAAAAGAGTCATCAAATTCTTGTTATACTCTTGGATTAGTCATCATTGGTTCGTTGCCTGCAGGAGGCTTTTAGAAGAACTTTTAGGATGCGAGTGGTTTGTTATTTGATGCTATGTGGGGCACTGGGTATAGAAGATTTGATGTCGACTTAGCCAGGGATGCACTTTAGGGGTTTGTGTATAGATCTTTGACTTTTAAAGGAAAGCTAACCAGGGAGGAATATGTCCTTGATATCTTGTAGGACACCACACTCACTTGCAGATGTATGTGCGAGACGGACGGGGGGAGGAAGGAGGGAGGCTCTTTGCTGTTTTGTGAGGGAGGGGGTGCTCTTTGCTGTTTTTTCTGTAAACAAATGTTGTGTTCATTGTTTTGAATTTCACATTCTTAAGAAAGTATACATTGCTCCTGTTTGCTTGCTTCGAGAACACTATTCACAGTTTCCCCTTGCTGTATAAGTTTCGTATTCTGAAAGTCGGAGATGGTGACTTCAATAATAGTTGTTGAGAAAGAGAGTTGAATCAGAATCTGGAAGCAGAGTTAGGAACGGGGATCAATGCTTGCTAGAAGCTCCCTAGTTTGGAGTGCCGTGGGAACACCCTTACAATAGGTATCAAACAAAATAAATGTCCTTTAGAAAAACAAACTTCTAAATTAGCAAAAAGGTTATATGCTATGAGGCATATGTATTCACTTCCTCTGGTAAAATCCTATCTTAAATTGTTCTTAGAACCCCAAGCTCAAAAAGTAATTAAGCGATTTGGATGCCCAAGTACTCTTTCAAATTTGGCTAGAATGAAGAGATTTTTAAACCCAAATACCCCTTGTGATTTCTATAGGTTCGCAATGGAACCTGCCATCAAAGTGGAGGCTCTTAACCACATTACTGGAAGAGTTTCCGAGCAGATGGGGAACGTGTTCCCTCTGCTGAGCACAAAACCATGTCCCTGGAGCAGGAGCACCACTATAGATGGATGATCTCAATAATAATGACTTCGATACCACATGAAAAATCAAGAGATATAAAATAGGACAAAGGAAAATCCGTTTCTTCTCTTTAGATAATGCCTTCTGCCATTTTATGTTAACATCATCTCTACTCAATTAGCCTAGAGAACTAAAGTCAAATTTGCCAAGTTTAATCGAATGAATGAAATATCTTTTCCTTTTCTTCATTTTTTTCCTATTTTAGTAGGAATATACAGACTAGATTCTGGAAATTCTAATGCCTGTACTTGCTCTATGCCTTTGGCATATCTGTGGTTACCCCGGAATTGGGGAAGGATAGTCAAGTATGATGAGAAAACCATATGCTTTGCTGTTTGGTAAATAGTGATACCTTGTTGGGGCTATTTTTTTTATTTAGGCATGTGCTTTTTGTTGCCGAGTTTCCTCTGTTTTTTCTGATATTTCTCTAATCGTCATCATCATCATTTGAGCCTTATCCCAACTAATTTTGGGTTGGCTACAAGAATCATATTCCGCCATTCTGCTTATCAAGAGTCATATTCTTAGTCAGACTATAAATCACTATATTTTTTTCTCACTACTTCCATCTATGTCCTTTAGGGTGTTTCCCGTGTCCTTTTTGAGCCTTCCCCTTAACCAAATCATTCCTCCTAACTGTTGTTGTTCTAGATCGATGTTGTTCATGACCACACCACTTAAGTCTATTTTTCCATATTTTATTGCCTATTGAAGCCACCCCTAAGTTCTCTCAGTTATATTCCTTCCAAATTCTGTCCTTTCTTGTCTTGGCCATTGATCCATCTCAACATCCCCATCTTAGCTACACTCATTCTATGGATATATTGTTTCTTGACTGGGCAACATTTCCTCCCATAAAATATGGCTGGTCTTACCGTTGTTCTATAAAATTTCCCCTCAATTTCATCGGTATAGGACGATCATATAAGACTTCAAAGGCCCATCTCCACTTTGTCCACTCAGCTTTAATTCTGAGCAACATTGTCTTTAATCTCTACTTTCTCATGGGTTATTGACCCAAGATATTGAAACTAATCTCTTTAGATTCTTCTTCGACATCAATCGTAATTAATTCTTTTAATAATAACTTATTTTTCTGATTTTTGCCACTGTAGCAAGTAACAACCATGTTAGGCTGAGACTGCATGCGATGAACTTTTCCAATAAGATGAAAGCTAGATTGTTCCATTTTTCTGTTACCTTAGTTAAGCTGGGCTGTAGATCATAAAGAAACATGCCAGTTTCGATGACATATAAGTTGCTGAACAAAGTAAATACAGTTATTGGTTTCCTCCATTTATATGTTGAAAAGAAGCTTTCTGATATTTTTTTCTTACACAGGCTGGGGATGGAGATGAAGATGGCCTGCTAGGATTTGACCTGCATAGTGATGGCTATGGTCAAAAGTATGTGATTTCTACGTGTAGCCCATCTACATCTATTTTTCCTATTTTATTTTCTGTGCCCTTAGTTTGTGCCTAATCAGTTAAAACCTTAGAAAGGTGATGACTGATAGTTTTGTACCGAACTTTGCAGGCATCTGAATGCTACAGTAAAGGATAATGGGACACCTAGACCCAGCTCAAATGGGTCTGTACTTGTACCACCCACACTATCTTCCTACTCATGTATACATATGAATGGAAAAGAAGTTTTCCGCTTTGCCGTTAGATGTGTTCCTCAGGTGATTGAGGCAGCCCTACAAGAGGCTGGCCTTACAGGCTCCTGTATTGACTGGTTGTTGCTTCATCAGGTACATAATTATGCCTCTCTCTCTCTCTCTCTCTCTCTCTCTCTCTCTCTCTCTCTCTCTCTCTCTCTCTCTCTCTCTCTCTCTCTCTCTCTCTCTCTACTCTCTACTCTACGTCTACTACGTCTACGTCT